TGCATTAGACTCTCAGACCTGTTATTGTCCCGCATTATCCTAAGGATGCTGCTATTTCCTGTAATCCCGTTTACAGTCAGGTATCAGGGAATCCACCTGGAACTGCCAAGGGGTGTGGTTCCCAAGGGTCATCGACCTTCCTTGCTCCTCCTTTCCATCTCTGAGGGAGAAAACTTCCATTGCCTCCAGATTGTGTTTCAAAACAATGGAGAATGTTCTTGGTTTTATTACTAAGTAGTCTTGACCTCTAGCTTCATAGTTATTGTTTGCTTTGTTTCTTTAACATCTTGACATTCATTATTTTCTTCCTGGTGCTTTCTTAGGCAGTTGATTCCTCCACGCACCAGCTCCCCTGACTTGAAAGCTGCAGAGATGCATTTAGATCAGGTTTCTTGCATGCTGCCGGCTTTATCTCATTTACAGTATCGCATTTCTGTTGCCATACACTGTAGGATCTGGGCCTCCCCACAGCTTTAGAACAATTAGTAATTGAACAGGAAGTGTGTTTTTATTACAGTGGCCTTTTGATTTTGATTTTACAATCATGTAGTGTTTAGCAGAGAGCAGAGGTGGGCAAGTGGCTCTCTCAAACACATTTTTGACAGAGAGAAGTCTGTTGTTTCAACCACTTGGCTATCTGTCAGCGGGTCTCAGACTTCCCCCTTGTGTGGGTTGCCTGGCAACCTGGGGCTGGAGCAATCAAACCGTGGCCAGTGCTTCTCCAGCCCAGATTGGGAGATGATTTATTGGTGGAACTGTAAGTACAGTAAACCCAAGCCTCAGAAATGGACCCTTTTTCTTTTTTAAACCAGGAGTTTATAGAAACCATATCAAGGCAAAAAGAGAGAGAGGGAGAATATCAGTTAGAGAGCTTTGTTGTAAACATTTTAAATAATAAAATTAGGGCCTGTAATGAGTCTGTTATTATCCAGATATGTATAAGTTAATATTTTTTTCTTAGTTGGATTATTACCTTTTTTTTTCCTTTATTTTACTGGAACACTCAACATTTTAAAAGTTAGTATTTTTAAATGCTAAATTTGAGTACTTGTGATACCATCAGAGGTAAACTGAGGCCTTGGTAGAATCAGACGTAGAATCAGAGCCCAGCTCTCCCAGATTTAATATAGTGAGCACAAAATGCTGATTGCTCTTCTCACAAGTTTTCAAAATTAGCTAAAAAATTCAAAGACCCATCTATATGGGAAATCCCAATACCTTGTGCTCCATTTTGCTGTGAACCTAAAATTGCTCTAAAAAATAAAGTTTATGAAAACATTTTGAAAATGCAAAGATTCTGCCTTACTATATGCTGTTGTAACAGATGTTTTAGTAGGTCTCTCTCTTCATATATGTATGCATCCTTTTAACTGAAAACTATCCTATAATTTTTTTCCTATACGAGTGAGATCTGGCTGGGCGCAGTGGCTCATGCCCATAATCCCAACTCTTTGGGAGGCTGAGGGAGCAGGATTGCTTGAAATCAAGAGTTCAAGACCAAGCCTGGGCAACATAGTGAGAACCCTGTCTCTACAAAAAAATATTTTAAAATTAGCTGGGCATGGTGACTGACACATACCTGTAGTCTGAACTACTTGGGAGGCTGAGCCAGGAGGATCATTTGAGCCCAGAAGCTCCATGTTACAGTGAGCTGTGATCATACCACTGCAGCCTAGGTGGCAGAGCAAGACCCTGTCTCTAAAAATAATAATAAATAATCATAAAAGTGAAATCCAACAGCTCTTGTTGAGATTTCTCCTTCATAGCATCTCAGATATCACAAATGAGGATGAAAAGGACTCGATTTCTGGGGACATACTGTATGAGGGTAGGGGGAGCAGCCTGGCTTAGCAGTAACCTGAGCATTTCTTTTTGTAAAATTTTAGAGAAATATTTTGGAACTCAAACCCCTCTGCATGCAGCCCAGTGTATCCAGCTGTGTATGTAAATGAGCTATTAGTATGTTTGTATTCCTTATAAATATACAGATCTAATCTGTTTGTGTGTGTAATTTACACACAGCTGTGTTCATGCTTCCGTATTACCAATATTTTCAGCAAGAGCGAGGTATCATGGGAGCGCTGTTGTTCCAAACAAAAGCCAGCAGCATAGCCTTGTGGTGGGGCCCATTATCAGCCCCTGATCTTGGGACCCTCCCTTGGGGGACTCTCTTGAAAGTCACAGCCGCCCTGCATGGGGATAGCCATCCTGCATGGGGTAGGTGGGAGACCAGAGTACCTGTAACAGAAAATAAAACAGCCAGGCGCGGTGGCTCACACCTGTAATCCCAGCACTTTGGGAGGCCAAGGCGGGCGGATCACGAGGTCAGGAGATTGAGACCATCCTGGCTAATACGGTGAAACCCCATGTCTACTAAAAATACAAAAAAATTAGCCGGGCATGGTGGCAGGCGCCTGTAGTCCCAGCTGCTTGGGAGGCTGAGGCGGGAGAATGGCGTGAACCAGGAAGGTGGAGCTTACAGTGAGCCGAGATCGCGCCACTGCACTCCAGCCGGGGCGACAAAGCGAGACTCCGTCTCAAAAAAGGAAAAAAAAAAAAAAAGAAAAGAAAAAAAATAATGACCACCTGTTAGACAGGGATCTGCATTATGACTGAGGTTTGGCTTTTGTCATTGAAATGCTCCCTCCACCCCCACCCCTAGACTACATTTCCTAAAGGGGTAATTGATTTTCCTTTCTTCTTTGAGATCATTCTTTAAATGAACAGAGTCAAATTAGGAACCCAGTCCCATGTTGTATTGTCATGAAGGGGAAACAAAATCCAGGAGCCCCTTCTCTGTCAGGAGCTGACAGAAGGCCCTGGTGCTCGTTGGGGTCTTCAGTTTCCCTTGTTTGGAAAGTGGGGCAGATGTTAAGAACTTTGGCATTTGGTCGAGTTCTTCTGGAAGACAAGTTTTACGTAATTTGAAATAACAGCCCTATGTGATTTTATTTTAGGAATTTATGATATCATTGCCCATGATTCTAACAGTATAGTTATTTTGCCTCCCTAATAGAAAACTTGGAGTGCTTTGGATGATTTAGTATTTTACAAAAAAAGAAGTTAGGATTATTCTAGACCTGTGCTTTCCAATATGGTGACCACTGGTGTCTTGTGGCTGTTGAGCATCTGAAATGTGCTGGCCCAAGTATAGATGTGCAGTCAGTGTAAAATACACACTGATTTCAAAGACCGAGCAGGAAGAAAAAGAATGTAAAATATTTCATTACTAACTTTTATATTGATTACATGTTGAAATGATAATATTTTTGATGTATTGAGTTAAATAAAACATTTCAATTAACTTTACCTGTTTTTTTTTTTTAAATATGGTTACTGGAAAAGTAAAACTTACATTTTTGGCTTATATTTCTATCGGGCAACCACTGGTCTAGATTCCTTTAATTACAGTTTTTGCAAAAGGTTTTCTCGCTAAGGATTTCCACTTTTTTGTTCCCTTGTAACTTCTGGACAATCCACATTTCTTTTTTTAGCTTATTTCTCTTTCCTCCTGTGTTGAGATCTACTTTGCCAAGGAAAGGTGAACATTTTAATGACTTACTTAGGAGCCACTTTACAGGGGCATTTATGTAGAGACTGTAGGGTGATATTGTAGGGAGGGAAAGAGCCTCCCATGCCCATTTGGGTTCTGTCATGAGTGTTGGGTTATTTTATTTATTTATTTATTTATTTGAGATTGAGTTTCGTTGTGTTGCCCAGGTTGGAGTGCAGTGGCACAATCTCGGCTCACTGCAACCTCCGCCTCCCTGGTTCAAGTGATTCTCCTGCCTCAGCCTCCCAAGGAGCTGAGACCACAGGCACACGCCACCATGCCCGGCTAATTTTTATATTTTTAGTAGAGATGGGGTTTCACCATGTTGGCCAGGCTGGTCTCAAACTCCTGACCTTGTGATCTGCCTGCCTCAGCCTCCCAAAGTGCTGGGATTACAGGCATGAGCCGACGCACCCGGCCGTGTTGGGTTATTTTTAATTTGGGCGTAGCTGTGTGGACATAATTGGCAAGAGGCATTTGGCTGGTGCGATCTCTACATCTGTTAATGCTGCTGCTTAACTAGCCAGTTCTCATTTGACTTGAAAGTGCATTGATGCATGCTTTCTGATATTCGCCCAGTGGCAATACTTTCTGTTGGGCCTGCAATAATGAAAGGACTTCAGTGTACTCAGTGTAATTATCTAGACCCAGAGGGGCATTGACAGAGATGTATCTATAGGATAGCTCAATGGGCTGTGTTAGTGGGTGCAGTTGCTATTTAAACCACTAGCATGAGGTCATTTTCCCATTGGGCACATGGTCTTTGAATGAAAAATGGAGTAACTTTTATTTGGTATTTGAGACCTCCTGGGAAGGGTTTTGGCATACAGGTGTGTTGACAAAGGAAATCACTGGCTTTACTCTGGATGCTGAGCTGGCATCACGGAGGGGATGGCGTAGTTCCTCTAGTAGGTTTGAACTAAGAACATCTAATGGTTTTGTCAGTAGTAGTTAGATGTTAGAAACTTAACAGTGCAATGAATATATATCAAGAGATGTTGAGTCATACTGGAGAACAGATGATGACAGGTCAAATAGCCTTGGAGGAAGACTAAGCCCAGTCACCTCCAGATACATTCTTGTACTGAGCTACTGGTTACCAAGCACCTGCTTTGTATTATCAAGTGCTGTTCTAGGTGCTGGGGATATAATAGTGAACAAAACAAAGACCCTTTCCTCATATACTCAGTAACGTAGCCTATGTCATGTCATCTAATCATATCACATATGGTGATAGTAAGAGCCAGGCCTTAAAATGAAGCAGAGTAAGGTTACAGATAGTGACAGGCATGCAAATTGGGGAAGCATAATTGGAAGATTGCTTATTTGTTTGCTTAAATTAATAGTGACTAAGAGGTTAAAGTTTTTAGTGGTTTTAGCAATGAATCTTGTATTAGTTTCCTATCACTATGTTACACATTACCCCGATAATAAAAATTAGCCCAACTTAAAACAATGATAATCATTTATTATCTTTCACAGTTTCTGTGGGACAAGAATTTAGGAATGGCTCCACTGTGCCGCTCTGACTTGGGCTTTCCGAGGTTGTAGTCAAATGACAGGTGGTATTTGAATCATCTTGAAGGCTTCTTCACTTACGAGTCTGGGCTAGGAAGACTCAGATGGCTGGGGACTAGAATAGCTAGGGCTTCTGTAGCATTTCTCCATCCCTGGTGGGCCAAGGCAAGCCGGACTCAGGGCTTCAAAGATACATGTCCAGAGAAGGAGAGCCCAGCAGAAGCTGCGTTGCTTTGTATGACATGGACTTAGAAGTCACCTGGTATCATTCTGTCACATTCTGTTGGTCAAGGCAGTTACAAAGGTCTACCCAGGCTCAGGAGAACAGAGAGACCCACCTGAAAATGAAGGAGTGTCATTATCACATTGCAAGAGCATATGGGATGGAATCTGTATTGGAGTGGCCACCTCTAGAAAATATAGTTTGTCACAAATGTAAAGATTTTGTGGGTATGTGTGGTTTGATTTGTTGGTTTAAGTTCAGTTAAATGATTTATGGCTCTCATCTGTAATATGAGGGCTTCAACCAGCATAGTTCTCTAATGATTCCTTCTAGCTTTATCATTCTCTGATTCCAGTGATAGCGCAGGTGTGGCAGGAAGTGTTGAGTTGACAGCTGCTCAGCTTTTGTAGACATTTCTGGGCACATCATCAGAAGAGTCAGCTGGGACATTTAGGGGCTGTTTGACTCTTGCTGGCCTCACACACTGAAAGACCTGGCACTTCAGTCACCCTTTGTGTTATGTTTCTATAGCTAATCTTAACTGGAGGCTGCTAGTGGTGGGGTGATGAAATAAAATAACGATTTGAACCAGGAGCTGCCCATTATCATGATACTCATGGACTGAGATGGGCAGAACAGCCAGGCAGGATTATATTAGATCTACCTTCCCAAGTGCTCCTTCTCATTCTCTTTGGCCTTTGGAAGGTTAGGAAAAAGAGGAAAAGAAAGGAAACAGAAAAGAGAACTCTTTGGTATTACTCCTCTGTGTCAGCTAAACAGCTGCCATATTTGACCCTAGAGAGGACTTCTTTTAGAAATGGACTGTTACTCAGGGGTCTTGGATTTGGGATCCTGTTGTAATTACCATAGAATCTTCTGGACTAGCCTGGGAAACAGGTCTTTTGTGTGTGTGCTGAAACTAGGATTTATTTCAAAGACACATGTCCAGAGAGGGAGAACCAAGTGGAAGTGGTGTTATTAAATATTAAAGGTATTTAAGACAGTTGACAAAACATATCATGCAAAACAGGATGTCTTCTTGGAAATAGTTCAGTCCTCCTCTTGTCTCTATGTAGGACCAAGAGGCTACCCTGCTTTACTACTGTTCCATTGTTAAGAGAACCAGGCACATAGAAGTTGAGACTTTGAAGATGGTAGAGGCCTGGACACCCATCTTGCACCCAGGAACACAGCAGTCCTGAGACAGGGCTAGTTACCAGTACAAGGGATGTAGTTATTTAGTGGCAGAACCATGCCAGGTTGGTTGTGGGAAGATTTTCCTCATGGATATCCAGCATACAGCATATAATCTCTGACATGTGCTTTTATTTCAAGAGTTTAAGTTTGTGTATAGGTATATGTAGACTTTCCTTTAAAGTATCTTAAGAAGTACCTTAACAAGTATCACACCCTTTATTCCTCTAAGATTGGTAGATATAAAACAGTGTTTTCTGCACTGAAAGTCCAAGTAGTTAATCCTATTTTGAAATCTTATTTACATCTCCATTCTTCTTGGATAAAAATAAACATAAATCTAACGTTGATTAGAAATTTTGTTTCCATCTACCAAACATGTATTGTGTTTTAGGGAAAACTCTAGGACCAAAAACAATACCCATGCCCAACAGTTATCATATTGCTTGGTTACAGTTTGCTAGGCACTCTGAAGATTACAAAAGACATGAAATACTCAACTCTTGCTGGAAAGGAATCCACAATTTGGTGGAAGATCTACAGACCTTTTAATGACAGAAGTGGTTATTAATTCTAGTTGTAAACAGGAATTGTTTTTCAGAGAAGGGAGAGAGAGCAGAGTGGACTCTGGAGGGATAGAGTTGAAACTGGAACACGCTTCGCACAGTGTCTCGCGCTGTGCTCTTTGCACAGTGTGTTCACTAGAATGAGTGCTCAATGAATGTTAGTTGAATTGATGTGTTTGAATACGCAGAAGTGAAGAAGGGACATTCTAGATTGGGAAGAGAGAAAGGCATTGGTAAATACCCAGAGAATGGAATCAGGAGGGGGTACTGCAGTAACTGACTTCACTACATGGTGGTGTAGGTGATTGGGAACCCAATTGTGGAGACTGTTAACTAGCAGACCGATAGTTTGGACGTGCTAGGAAATTGTCACAGGTCTTCAAATAAGAGGACACATTAATATACAGAATGCCCAGAATTGGAATGTTGCGGGGGAGGGGTGTGGAGACACACTGAGGCCAGGGAGGAGACCAGTGCAGTCACTGGCATGACGTGGCCCTGTAGTTGGCAGAGCCCCTGCAAAAACAGAGGAGCATGCTGAACAGGAAACTCCATGAAGAATGAATCTAGAGGGCATGGTGACTGATGGAAGGAGTGGGAATGGACAGAGAGCAAGCCAGGCATTTCTTCTTGGAGAACTCTGCTGCAGCTGACAGAAATAGGGCCACAGGTAGCTAAGAGAGGGCAGGCTGGCTTGGTGAGAGAGAAGCTGGGGAGATTTGAGGTGCTAGGCCCATGAGTTTAATAGAGATGTTTTAAACTATATAAAGTAAAAAAAGTTACAGTAAACTAAGGTTAATTTATTATTGAAGAAAGGAAACATTTTAAATGTTTAGGTTAATTAAACAGTGTTTATAAGACTACAGTGGTATCCAGCAGAGGTCCCCAACCTTTTTGGAACCAGGGACCAGTTTTGTGGAAGACAGTTTTTCCATGGACTGGGGGGAAGGATGGTTTCAGGATGATTCAAGCGTGTTACGTTTATTGTACACTTTATTTCTATTATTATTACATTGTAATATGTAATGAAATAATTATACAACTCCCTATAACGTAGAATCAGTAGGAGCCCTGAGCTTGTTTTCCTGCAACTGGACAGTCCCATCTGAGGGTGATGGGAGACAGTGACAGATCATCAGACATTAGATTCTCAAAAAGAGCATGTAACCCAGATCCCTCACATGTGCAGTTCACAGTAGGATTCATGCTCCTATGAGAATCTCATGCCGCTGCTGATCTGACAGGAGGTAGAGCTCAGGCAGTAATTTGAGCCATGGGGAGCAGCTGTAAATACAGATGAAGCTTTGCTCACTTGCCTGCCGCTCACTTCCTGCTCTGTGGCCCAGTTCCTAACAGGCAATGGACTGGTAGTGGTTTGTACCCTGGGGACTGAAGACCCCTGTCTTAAGGTATATGCAGGAAGAAGTTTTACTTGTGCCAGTAGTAACGTAAGGGTAATAGGCCTGCACCTCAGTGGGTATTTGGAAGACAAAGGAATGCCTGGAGGGGCCTACCCAGTGTAGCACTGGGTCACCCTATGGAATGTATGGACTTTCGTGGCATGAGTTAATACACAGAAGTACTTAGCAGCTCACACTCACTCTGTTACCATTGGCATGGCTTTTATTGTTAGAACTGGACTTGAATCCTGGCCCTGATGATGATTAGGTGTGGGATGGGCCAGGATATTTCATTTACCTAACCTTTAGTTTCTTTATCCGTAGAATGGGCCCGGTGACACTTACCTTGGAGAGTGTATTGTGGCAATTAGCATACTTGTGCCACTACCACTACCACTTCCACTCTGCACAGAAACCTGAAGGCCTTGGAGAACTCAAGAAACACTGAACTATTTCAGTCAGTTCTCTGGGTTCCTGAGTTGCCGCTTTGAGGAAGATGTGGCCTATGGGTTGTCAGTGCCCAAGTTGGGATGGTGATGTCCTAAAACTACGGAGGACATTAGTCTGAATAGAAAGTGTAGGTGCAAGTCTGAGCTACGGTAGAATGTCAGATCTGGAGAGAGATTTGAGAATCATCAATAAAAATGGGATGATTATTTTAAATTATCCCATTTGCTGCCTTTAAACTCTAACTAGTTTCATTAAACTATTAAGTGGCTCTCCTGGAATAACACTAGTAAGTGCAAAGTGTTTTTAAAGTGGAGGCAGAAATTGGGAGCAGCCTATACTGGAAATTTTGGAAATGCTCCTCATGGCTTGCTCTCAGGTCTCCTCCCAGACAAATTGGTTATGTTGCTCTTTATTGAAAAAGTAGTGCCTTACTCCAGTCACCCTTTCATTAAAATGTTAAATATTTAAAACTAAAACCAAATGATACATCTCAAAGCAGCATCAACAGTAAAGCTCCAGAAGGAAATGTGTTTTAGATACGGGGTGGTGGGATCTGTAACCAACAGGATGATATGGATGAAGGACAGTTCTCATCCAGTGGTTTATCAGTGAGAGCCAGCATCATGTAATACAAATGTTTGGAAAGGCTTTTTTATTTCTTCTGCCTGGCATCCGTGTTCCCTTTTTTTTTTACCCTACCCCTCCTTACCTTTAACATTTAGGATGTGTCTTTTTCATCTGCTGCTCTGTGTCTTCAGTGGAGCCATGGGTCTGTTCCCCTTACTCACTGCCTCTGTGTCTTCTGCGGGGAACTGTAGTTTGCTTACTTGCAGATCTGCCTGCTTTTCTGTCCCCTGTGAACTAGTAAGTTATTAACATAAAATTTTGTGCAGTAAACAGGGTAAAACAGAAGGAGCCATTTTCACAGTGGGAATCATTTTAATACCTACAGTGTTTTCCAAACAGTTATGTAAGAGGACTGAGTAGACGTCGCTTTTCAGAAGTCATGGTGAGTTTCTGACTGTGATACAGTAGTTAAAATTCACCAGAGGGAGTTAATTTTGAAAGCTCTCAGCCAGGGGTTAATGCAGAGGTATCTTTTAGCCATTTTTGTAGCTCAGCCCCTGTCTTCTGCTCTCTTGCTACTGCAGACAGGGGTCAGGTCCAGCACCTGGGATGACGCCAGAAGGAGACGTGCTGGGAGTTTCACACGTAGATAAGGGGAATTTGCACACCTTACCCTCTGAAGGGTTTACTCTCAGCCCAGTGTTCTCTATCCACACGTAGATTTTTTGGGAAACAATATCTTGGAATGCAAACACAGGCAGCAGCCACATCACACATCCCTGGTCTGCACCCTCGGCTCCATTCCTAGGCCCACCACAGCTCTGAGGCTTCCCGATTTTTTACACTCGTCTCCCTTGACCCTCCCAGCCTGGTTCAAGGACTTAGTGATATATAGTTACTTTTCCCACCTATAAGATGGGAATAGTAATAGCCTCTGCCTCGTAAGTTGTTGTGGTGATTAAATGAGCCAGTGCGTTAGAGCCTTTAAGACAGTGGCTGGCACATTATAGCGCTCAGTGTTCACCATTTTTATTGTTCTAGGGTGGTGTTTCCCTACCTTTTTCATACCATGATGCGTGTAAAAATGCCGTTTGTACTCATCAGTAGGTTAATGGTGATGCTACTTGCACCAGGCCCACCTGCCATCCCAAGGGTGGAGAGGTGAGGATCAGTATCTAGGCAGACCAGTGAGGCAGAGGCACAAGGCTTGGGGGACTCTGACAGGGGGTGGGCTCAAACAATAGCACGAGGAACTTTTGAACACATTAATTTAATCCATTTTTGACCTGGTTATTTTTATTTTTATGTTATTGTTATTTTTATTCCAATATAGCTGTTTCTAAAGTGGCTATGTCTAAACAGCCATGTCAGAATTTCCTTTTTGGAACAGAGGAGCAGACTAGATCACATGGCTTCCAAGTTTGAACCTTGTGTTCTTTCCACTGTAGCAAAATTCAAAATAGAGCTTTCCAGGTTCTATTAAAACCCAAGGCTAGTAATGCTAGGTTCAGGTAACTTAACTTTTTTAAAGCCAGAAGTTAAATTTTCTCTACTGGGGAGTTGTAGGTAGGTAACTTTTGATTGTGATGTGAAATTTCAGCTCAGTAGTGGAAAACTATAGCAATTTATCTAAAAATTAGAGCACAAAATCATAAACGTAAGTTGTAACACAAAGCAACAACCTCCTTGCCATAAATAAATATATATTTATATTTGGATCTCACCTGGCTGTGGGGATACAGAAACAGAAAAGGACTTATTTTGTGTTCCCAAGGAGCAGCACATAGTTGGGTTGGTTAGGCATGAACACACCGGAGAAACAAGTGCCAGCATCCCAAGACCCTCAGTTTGTGCGTCTGAGAGTGGGCAGGCTATGAGCTAGCAAGCATAAACAGCAGAGCTGCCCAGCTCTGGCAGCAGTGGCCAAGCCAGTGACTCGCCTTCTACATTTCCTTCCTCCTTTACCCTTGGCATCCTGCTATTCTAATATCTATACACTGGGAGTGATAGAAAAACTAATGGACACAGAAATAATTCATGAGGCCTTCCATCTCAGCACTGGAAATGCCCAATTTCAGCTCAACAACTACAAGACTGTTAGGAAACAGACTGTGTCCATGAACTTGCATTTAGAGGCTTATAGGGCCTGTTGATTTGTAAGTCAATAGTGTTAATTGTTAAAGTCTTAAAAACTTCAAGGTCTTCATTTGAAGAGAGGTGAATTTGTAGAGGGCAAGGAGATAACCACAACAGAAGCCTCTTTCACCTGTGACCCCTTCCAATCATTGACTACTGTGAGTGACTACTGTGAGTGGTCGTCTTTGTTTCGATTTTCAAGGCTACTCTACATTTCTGGTAAACCACAAGGTAAAGGCTGGTCTCTGAGAGGCAGATGTTTTGCTGGTTTTGAGGCCTTGTGGCTTTCCATAGAGAAGTAACAGTACAGGCCACATGAAGCTTTTACTTCCTTTTTTTTTTTTTTTTTTTTTAAAGTGGGGCCAAGGGTGCTTTGCTCTTGATAGCATTGTATTGATATACATTGACAGCTGTGGTAGGTCTGTGTTCACCACCAGATGTCAAATTCCTATTTCTGGAAGTAATTAGTTTGAGATACCTGTGAGACGTTCAAGTTGAGTGTTCCTAGTGGACCTGGACCATAGATTTAGTCTTAGAAATACCAGTGAGAATCTCGATAGATATTTAGAACCAAAGGAACAGTGGAGATCATATGGGGAGACAATGTATATAGCAGAAAGCCCTAGGACAAAGCTTTGGGGAGACTCCAGCATTTAGAGGTTGAGTAGAGAATTAGGCCAAGTGGTATGAGCAAAACCAGAAGAGTTTGGTGTCATGGAGTCAAGAGGTCAGCTCTATTAGGAGAGTTCAAAATGGACCTGTCTTTCAACAGTCCATTTCCACTGTGACCACCCTAGCCCAGGCCCTCAGCATCTCGTTGTTGGTTTCACTTGTCCAGGTGCGGTGACTCACACCTGTAATCTCAACACTTTGGGAGGCCAAAGCGGGAGGATTGCTTGAGGCCAGGAGTCTGAGACCAGCCTGGGCAATATAGCGAGACCTCATCGTTAATAAATAAATAAATAATTTTTAAAGGAGACAAAAAATATGGTGAGCGTCAACTGTCTAGTGCTATATGGAGGGAGGCACTAGGTGTAAGATGTAATTCTTTAAGAGTTTATGGACTTTTGGGGTCAGCAGGCCTTATACAAATAAACAAATGAGAGAGTAACTGGACATCTGGTTTCATTTGGGAGCAGGAGAGATTTTGAGGTGAACCTGGAGATGCCTTACCCAGATTCTGGAGTTGAGACAGAGGTCCCAGTGTGGGCCAGTTGGCATTACTGGACGTCTGGCTGGAAAGGTGAGCAGGGCCAGGATCCTGGAGGGCCTTGAATTCAGGGCTAAGGAGTGTAAACACTGTCCTGCAGAGACCATCATGCTGTTCTTAGGTAGGGGCTAAGGGCCAGATAAGGTGGGACTCAGGATGAAATCTATGGTTTGGAAAAATTCCTTGGCAGAGACTTCTAAATGGCTGGCTGGGGGAGATGGTTAATAGGCTAGTTATTAGGAAAGAGAGAGAAAGATCTGGCCTGGGACTGCCACTAGCATGGGCAGGAAAGGAGGGCGTTGAAAGACACTTCTTAGGAAGAATACTGAGGACTTGATGATTTGATGTTGGACCCAAGAAGAGGAAAGTACAGAGTCATAGAAAATGGTAACAGAAAATAGTTACCACTGTAGACGCCTGCCTGCATTTTACAGAGTGTGGCAGTGAAGTACGTGGATTTGAGGGGGCTTAGTTTGAATTCTGGCTTTGTCTCTGAGGAGTTGATCTAGTTACCTGTCTGTGCCTCAGCTTCCTTGTCTGTAAAATGGGGATAATAATTGTAAAGATTTCGAATTAATACATATGAGGCTTCTGGCATATAGTAGGTACTTAGTAACTATTGGTTGAATGGATGATGTTCAAAGGATTACATCACAATAAATGGAAGAAACAGGATCTGAATTTGTCCAGCTCTACCACATTACCCTGATGTTCCAGAGTCTGCCTTTCTCACATGTTGCCTCATTGTGTAGGCCTCTTTTATTGGACCTACTAGATGTCACTTGGCATCAAGCCCACGTTTAGATTGCATGGTCCTGGCGTTCCACAGCCTGGCTCACTCCAGATTGCCCGCTCCAAGTCTGTATAGACTCTGTCTCCCATAACCCACCTCCCGTTCTCCACCTCTGACCTTCGCGGAGGGCCCGGTCACCAAGTCACCTCCCACCTCTGCAGTAGCTGCCCACCCCTCATGATCTGGCTGATGTCACTGCCTTGGTGAAGGCATTCTGAACTACTACAGACTACTGCAGTCTAGCCTTCTTGGGTCCCTTGCTGCACTGATGAGCTGTACCTCACTTCTTTATGCTTGGCCAGATAACATCTCAGAATGTTCTGTAATGACTTCACACATATTTATCTTACCTGCAAAAATGAATCACAGTTCAATAAAGGTCCATGGCAACCTTTATTATCTTCCTAGACCCCAGCTAGGTGCTCAGTAAATACCTGAATTACTCTTAAAGAATGGATTAAGAAGCAGGAATTCTGATGACTGCTGAGGTGTGGAGTGTGCCAGTAGTTCAGGTCCTCATCTCATACCTGAACTGTGTCACCGGCCTCTTTAACTGGTCTGTCCCTAATCTACACTTAGGCCACACTGCCACTGGCACAGTCCTCATCCACTCTTTTCATGGAAAGCTCCAGCTTCAGCCTCTCTGCCAGCCTACAATTAGTAACTCTTCCATGCAGCCTGAAGGGCTCTCTGCAACCCGATCCTTGCCTGCCTCTTTCGTCTTATCTGCTGGCACTCCATTCTGCACACCCTGTCCTCCTTGCAGTTCCCAGAATGTTCTCTGTGCCTTTTCCTGGCTGACTTCTGCTGGAAGCCCTGCTGGAGCCCACCTGGCAGGCTCACGCTCTTCCTTGTCACTTCCTCTAAGACATCAGCAAGCAGAGTAAGTTGCTTCCTCTTCCTAGCTCCACCCACCACCCTTTGTTCCTCTGCTGCTTTTCTTGCAGGCCCTAGGACTGGTTTGTTTACCTGTCTGCCTTCCTGGGCAGACTGCAGCTCCTTGAGGGCAAGGCCATCTTTCCGCACCGTCTCTCCCGGTGATATGCTGTGTGCACGCAGCGTAGGATGCCTGTTGATCATATAAACGATACTTTTGTCAAGTAACAAAGGTCACTCCTCCTCACACTAGAGGAGAGCTTGCTGCTTTCTTGTGCCTTGACAGATTTTCCCTTCGAACTGTATGAATTATATTGAAAATTGACAATGATGAGTCATATCTCAGCAAGGGTGAAAATCAAAAACGCAAAGCCTCCACTATTGGAATAGGAGGTTGCAGACTGGTCTTAAAGGCTAGGTCTGGCCCTTCACTGAATCCTCCTGGCGGGTCTCAAACACAGGGAGTGGGAGGGACCCTCTGCCCGGTGGGCAGGTGATTTATTGGCTGGGAAGCTTCCGCGGTGATTTAGTTGTGAAGCGGCGCCCGGGGAAGTGCAGGCTAATGCCTGGGCCGGGAGGGAGCGGCTGCCCACAATCGCGGGCCGGAAGGGACCACGGGGGGCGTCGGGGCCAGCCCCCCATTTCGCAGCTGAGGTGGGGCGGGGGCAGAGGGCATGCGGCCGCGGTGCTGCAGACCTCGTCCATCCGGAACGTGGGCTGGAGACCCAGCAGCCTGGGAAGGGCCCCAGCCCCGTGGGCGCCCTATCCCCAAGCTTGCTGCGGTAGGGAGGAAGTTTCTGTGCTTTGCTGCCTTGATGTTCTCCTGTCGGAAGGAGGACACAGATTCCAGCGCTGGCTGCCCTGGAGGCTCCGGCCGTGGAGTGGGGGTCGGGCCGGGGGCGGGGCCGGGGCCGGAGCGCGGGGCCCCGGCGGGCGGGCAGGAGGGCGGCGGCGATCCAGGCCGCCTTTTGCAGCCGCCCGCGGCCGCGCCGGGCTCTGTGCGCCGCGCTCTTGCCTCCTCCCCCGTCGGCGGCGGCCCCAGCCCCGCGCCCCCCGGGCCCCGCGCCGCGCGGCCCCGCCGCGGTCACACGCCGAGCCACCCGCGGCCGCCTCCGCCCTGCGCTTTGTGGAGCCGGAGCCCAGTGACAGGCGGCGGCCTCTTGCTGCCCGAGACCCCGGGCGCTTACCTGTGGCTGCTGGAGTCGGCCGCGAGGGACCAGGCTGGGAGCCCCGAGGTGGGGGCTCGGAGCCAGGAGCTGCCCCCACCGGGGCGGGGAGGAGTGCTCGGGAGGCATGGGACAAAGTGAAAGTCTCCGGGCTGGGGTTGGGGACGAGTCTGAGACTGCTGTGAAAATGGATGGGGGCGGCGAGTGGCGTCTGGAGGGCGGAAGGGGTGCTGGTTATTCTCTGGCGGCTCGGAGGGGCTTTTAATGACGGCCGGCGGGGCCGGCCGGCTGGGTTTCGGGTTCCCGGTGGGCTTCCGCAATACTGGTGCCTTCCGGTGCCTCCTGGCAAATTCTTTGGATTAAGGAAAAGCGGCCTTTAACCCCCTAGGGTCTCCTTCTGGAGAAGAGTCACCAGGTTTGATTCTGTTCCCCCTTTCTGCTCGACACTTCTGGGAAGCTTGGTTCTCCGGTGGGAAAGCAGTTGTGTTTTATTAAAACATGGAGCATATTTATACCTTCGTGCACCAGAATGTGCCTGGTGGCAGAGGGGACAGATTGCTTCTTAGCCTTAGACGCAGGACGTCCTTCTCTTAAACGTGCTGCCCTGCCTGGTGGGTGGGATTGGGGTTCTGATGAAGATAGTTGGGGCCTGCCCTGGCCAGTGGGTCCCAGCTGAGCTGCTGACATGCTCTCCCAACCTCGTCAGTATTCCCTAGCCGAGACTTTTTTTGTGGTTGTTATTTTGCTGATTGTAGATATCTTTGCTTTGCTGACATCCTGTTTTGTTTTTGGTTTTTACATCCCATTTGTTTCTTTTTATCACAGAAACGCTTCGTTAAGGGACTCAGGCAGTACGGGAAGAACTTCTTCAGAATTAGAAAGGAGCTGCTTCCCAATAAGGAAACAGTGAGTACAATTGGACTTTATGTAACTTGATTTTTTCCTCTTTGCTCCTGCTGCCTCTCCACATTTGATCTTATGAAATGGTTTCCTTTAACCCTGCGCTGTGCTCAGACTCAGAGAAATTCTGGCCTCCAGAATTTCTCCGTTTTACTCTCTTGACTTTTTCATTTGAGTTCATGGTTTTAGACAGTAAAGTGACAGATTATGCTTATCTGCCTGAAGAACATAGACTTCTGTTGTAACTCTAAGAACAGAAAGGTCTTTGGGAACAGAGGGTTAGTTGTGGGGGAAGGATTGTTGGAGAGTTAACATCTAATTTTAAACACAGTGGCTGAAATAGGAAATAGCATTTATCACTAGTTTGAATTTGGTAATTGGCAGAAGTCATCAACCACGCTAGAGGTTTGTAGCTTATTATACTTTGAGTTCTGTGGAGATTTTTTCCATTTTTAAGTGTGTTTTGAAGAGGAGTTTTAACTCTTTAGTATTCTAGCCCTAAAAGTTTGCACTTTCCACTGGACGGATACACAAGGGGATCTTGTAAATTGCTTAAATGGAGCTTTACGAAAAATTACTTTGTATTTCACAAAGCTGGGGGTCAGAACTGACAAATATGCTCCGTAAACGTGAGGTGGAAGGATTTGCTGAGGAAAATGCGGAGTAAAATCGTATGAAGAGAGTGCTGGGAAGTTCATTCTCATTTCCCTGTAGTTGCCTCCCTCCTCATGTCCTTCCTTGGTGGTGTAGAGGCAGATGAAGAGAGAGTCTTTCCTCTGGCTAGGCCACAGGATAGGGCAGATGGGATGGAGTTGGACCAGCCACTGTCTACTCTCTGAGGGTGAAGGGAGGACTCAGTAATGAGAAACACTCTTCAGGACTTTGGGAGAAGTGATCCATGTTTAATCTGCCTAGACATTGAGCTGCTTTTTTAGGGAGTTAGGTGGGAGATGGATGGAAGAATATCTACTATAAAAGTGTGTGGGGAATTTGGGTTTTTTGGCTTAGTTTTTTAAATGGGGTGTTGTTCACTGATTTCTTGTTTAATTCTGTCTTTTTTTAAAAATGAGCTGTTTTTCTGGACACTTTTACTGTATAGCACCTCAAGGACAGTGATAACTCATGGGGAGGAAGGGTTTTGTGATTTCAGGTATAGTCTTGTATATATAAATGGATGGTTTGCATCAGTCAATGACAGTTAAATTTAAGTATTATGCATCTCATATGCTAGGATGGATCATATTGAGAATGGTAAAAAACAGAGAGAGAAACCTGTTTATAAGCATTAAACTAAGATGTATTATGAAGCCAATCTATATAATCAACTTATTTCTTACCCTTCCCAGAACAGGTTAGAGTTATTTAATATGGAATATTGAGATACATATTGTAAGTTTTCTGGGGATTTCAGTGACTTGAAGTTTGATATGATTAAAAATTAAAATGCCTTTGCCCAAGTGTAGGAAGTTTGGTTTGGCTGAGTGAAAAAGAGATCACTGAGTAGATTTCTCTTGATCGCTGGATTGTAGCCTCTCAAGTTCTGTCTGTGCTCCGCTAAAAGTTGCAAACCGTGAAGAAAATGATACAGAAATCTCTTCACAATTATTTAATCTTTCTGTTTCAAAAAATAAACTTATAATTGCAGGATTAAGCATTAAATCTAAAATCTGCCCCATTGGGCATTTGGAAATGCTGGGTAATTTTATATAGTGTTTTATCTCCGTAGTGGAAGCAGATGTGAGTAACCTTTAACCTAGGTAAGCCCTTCTACTCTTTCTTTTTGCTCTTGATTGCCCCTTCTTATTGATGATGTGTGACTCAGTAAATAAATAGCCTTTTTTCTCCTTCAGAGACATTCTTAGTACACCAACCTTTTGAGCTAGTTCTCTGATTGTCTTTTCCACTAGCCTCTTTCCTGAGACCTTTCCCCATCACTCTTCAGCCTTCACAGTTTCCCACCCTGTAGCTCTTCTCCCTTCTCTGGCACCCAACAGTCTTCCTATTTCCAAAGTCTTCATCAGTCACCATCATTGGAACTAATGAGACAGTTGTTTGCAGCAATGGAGGATTTATTTTGCCTGACATTTGCTAAATATTCATAGTGTCCTTGCTGTCTTTCGCATTGCACTGGAGGAGTTTGGTAGTAGGGTAAATCTGTAAGTATTATAATGAGCTGGGAGAGGCACTCATCTTGTATTTTCTTATTTTCTCTAGTTATCAACATAGCCAAGCTAATCATTCACAGCCCACAGGGAGGGGAGGGCAGAGGTCATTTTTTACTTTTTGCTGCAGAAGATGAGATTTGCATGTACCAGTGTTGTTGATTCAAAACTTGCTGGGTAGAATTCTTATGGTCATGCCCCTTTTCATAGCAAATTCCTCTAATCTAGGTACTTTTCACATTCTCTCTTTTTTTTTCAAACGAGACAAGATCTAGCTCTCTTGCCCTGGCTGGTCTCAAACTCCTGGGCTCAAGTCATCCTCCCCCGAATAGCTGGGATTACAGGTACGTGCTACCATGCCTGGCTTACATTTTCTTCCGTCTACCAGAATTATTAACTCATTTCTTTGCTGTTCTCAAGTGACTTGAAACTTCAGAAGGGTGTCAGCATCCAAAAGAACATGCCTCATTGGGCATTAGTGCGAGGATCAGCAGACCTGTATTCTATTCTTGGCCTTACTGGTAACTATAGTACTTGATGATCTCTTTTTAACTGTGTAGTGTCCCTTGAGCTGTTCATTGGAAAGCTCAGGTCAAATCTTGACAACACTGGGAAGTTATTTTCTGTAAAACGGTGTTTCTTTGCATGAGAGTTGTGTAGGTGCTGCGGTATTTATAAAATGCCTGTACATCATTACTTGTTGCAGTGCCTGAGAGCAAAATGATGATTCTTGCCTCCTCTGCTACATACTTGCTCTGAGACCTTAGGCAGTTTATTCATCCCCTCTGTCCTTTAATTCCTGTGTTTGTAAAATGGGGTGATAATTCCTATCCTTTTGATTATTTTGAGAATTTAAATGAGATGTTTGTAAAGAGTGCATAAAAATACTTGGAAATGATTATTCTTCCTATCTGCCTTAAATACTACATAAGGTGGTAGCTAAATGCTTTTAAGAGTACAGAATTACTTTCTGCTTGTAAATATACTGAGCCTGTATAAGAAGAAGTTACCTGTTTTTCATTAATCTGTCTTGCCAAAAACTTGAGAGGGCAGCGCCTAGTTAACAACCTCCGTCTTGAAGCTTTGTTGAGACTCTCATTCGTACCAGTTCATTCATGCGGTTATAGCAGAGAAGGGTTCCTGGTGGGCATAGACGTAAACAGCTTCCCTAGCTCTTTTGGTTTCTGGTGTTTATTACACAGGAGCTAAATCTGGCTTTTCTCTGAACACTGCTGCCCACTGAAGTGGGAATAGTGGCTGTGATTGCGGAAAACCCAACTGTTTATAGAGGCTTAGTTGAATGGGTATTACGTGTTAAACTCAGGGTACCCAAGAGAATAACTACAAGTCAAGTCTTTTAGTATCACGGTTGTGCAAATATCCTGTAGTTTATTCTTCTTTTCCCCATTCTCTCTTTCTCTATAACCATTTTCCTCCCCCTCAATATGCTTATAAAGTATATAATTAGTAAGTGAAATGTAGTCAGGAATATGGGTGGAGCATATTAGATTCACCTTGACTGTATACCTCTTCTCTCTCAAGCCACCGTGTGTCATAAACCACATCAGAGTCTTAGGTGTTAGTATATTTGTGTAAGTCACAGAGCGTCCGGTGTCTGAACTTTTGGGAGGACAGTGGATAACTAGGCCTCTTGATTCTGCTTTGAGCCCTGCCACTTATTATTGGGTAGATGGATGGTACGTGACCTTTGATGTTAAGGTAATGCCTGAAAAAATCGGAGGCCTGATAGAGAATCTTAATTACCTAAAGGTGAATCCATGTTATGAATAGCACAAAATGATAGATGATCCAAAAATAATTTTTTGTTTGATTTGTCTATACATTGCAATTTTCTTCAAAATCGTGAGATAATTATTCAAGCGATGGTGACATATCTCTTCTCTGAGGACATGTCTGTTATTTGAACCAAAGACTTTTTGTGTCTGGCACCTGGATGATTGTCCCTTGAATCCTGGCCTTTGTTTATAGCTGTGTCTCCTATTACTTAGACAAATTCAGCTGGCGCTGGATCGGAGTCCAGGAGCACTTCCTCAGTGACCTGCCATTGCTTGTCTCCAACGCAACTAAGATTGGTGAGAAGACAATTTGATCTGCCCTAGCTTGGTAGTAAAGAGGTATTCCCAAAGTGTTAGCCTCTGGAGGGAGATGGAAGGTGAAAGGGGACATGCTTTGGCTGTCTTTCTCATCTCTTTCTTTTTATTTTTGAGCACCTAGCCCAGTAAAGATTAAGTTTTGTGTCATTTGTAATCCCAGTTGGTGGTACATTGATATTTACTATACCAGGAACTCATTTTCATTCACTTCCCATTATCAGAACTAAATTTTGCATATAGTTCAACTTTTTCAAGTTCTGGGTAGCCACTGAGCACTGCAATGGATAGGATATCTATAAAGAGAAGCAAAGTGCCATCCCGCCCTGCAGGGAGCCAGCGTGACATTTACATGCCTGCCATACTTGGTAGAATGTGCCAAGGGCCCTGGTGGAGGGGTAGGTTCAGGCCCTACAAAGTGAGCACAGAGGCTCCTAGAAAACTAATTGGAGGAGTGGTGTTTGAACTGGGCTTTGAAGGAAGGATGCATTTTTGACAGGTCCTGTTTGGGAGGGTGGAGGAAAAGCAACTTTCCAGCCGTAGGAAATACTATGAACAAAGGCACGGAGACAGGAAATTGTAAAACGTGCCCAGAAAGTACATGAGCGTGGTTGGAAAGGAGGTTGCATAAGTGGATGCAGTAGAACTTAGGCCCAAATTATAGTTTCAGGGTAGATTTTGGGGGACCTTGAACTCCCTCCAAAGAATGTGTATGGGTGAGTGTGGGGATGGG